TTTCATCAGGTACGTTACTAATAAAAATTCATTTTTTAATGTTTGTTTGAATCTTTCTATTGATGTTTAGGACTGCAATTGATCAATCTCTTATTAGCATATATGCATCTTGTACAGATTGCCTCAATATTGCCTTAAATCACAAGCATTATAAGCAGAGATAGATGGTGGCTGGTAATGGAATCCATGACGCGCGTTTCGTCCTATTTGGGATTTGTTGGCTGGATGTACATGCATCCCAGAGCTGACACTTACTCCGGGACTCCAACCCAGTACCATTGGCTTCAAATACCATCGTGTGACCCACCTAGCTACTGGGTTCGAGTCCCAGAGTGAACATCAACTCTGGGATGTAGGTAAATCCAACCAACGAATCCCAGATAGGATGAAACGCGAGTTCTGAGTTCTACTGCTAGCCCCAATCCATCTTTGCTTGAGAGAAAAACTTTGTCGGAAAGAAAGCACTACAGTGACTATTAGGATGAAAAATTGTGAATCAATTGATTGTAAGCTGTATATTGGTTGATATTTTGTGCGAATACAGTTTTCGATGTTATCAATCTAGAACTAGTTTCGTCTAGATACCAGTGAATAGTATTTGAAAGTGATTTGATTGACCTATGCAATTAGACAAAACTAAGCTAGTCAACTTAAATGCATCCACTATGAGATGCGTAACGTACTAATGAGTATGGCCGAGTTACACATGGATTTATGCTTTAACTATTAGGATATAAATTACTTTCCGAAGTATTCACTCGATTTTTTTAGATAAACTTCAGATTAATTTATCGATGTTTATCCAACCTGATTATATATATATATATATATATACATATATATATATATATATATTATCATATATATCATATATATCTCCAAAAGTCACAAAGCAGCAAGTACACATTTAGAGTCCCATAACGATGATAACTTTGAATAACAAAGAAAAATTGGAGTGGATTTTCAGATTGATGATAATAATGAAGCATCGATTATATGGAACAGCCATGCTTCTATGAAAAATTCATTTTTCGGTTACTTGAATATCACAGAGAAGATGGTATTATGTAATACCAATAACAAACTCGTGGTGCTTTGACAGAAAACATTTCTATTATTATCTTTATACTAGTATCTTTCTAATTCCAGACGAATTTTAACGCTTAGTTGTGAATACTGAGTGATAGATCAGTATGTTTTCGCGAAGCATGTCGATAAATATATCAAACACTGATCAAACGAACATTTGAAACTAGTTATAGACCATTAATGTTCAGTCAACTATACTCATAATATAGGTAAGTCAAAAATAAATAGCGCGGAAATGACTCGAATTCAGGTTGTCTTTTGTATACTACTAATCAAACATAAGAGATGAAGTTTGGATGTATAAACGATTTTTTGAGAGTATGGGATTTATTCTTTCCGTACAATCCCATGTTTCCTAGATTTTTCTCTGATTCTGGTTATAGTAAATATACCAAAAACGATGAGATAAAGGGATAAACTGTGGCAGATGATATCAGTTTCACAAGTGCGAAATCATGAATGCTTACTACTGAGGAATCTTAAACACTAAGATGAAAAGACTGTCAATTGTTTTTTTTAAATATTTTTCAACAGCTGCACCTAGCTGTTGTTAGTTCGAGTGATGTAACAATTAAATTTTTTTTGGTTATGTTGTGTTTCCTGGGATGAATAGTCTGATTGCAGAACTTTCATTCATCGCGCCTGGTTCACATAAAGAAGTCACTTTTTTAAACGATTCATAATACAAATTTTATATAACTCATAAAGTGCAATGACCAAAACCAAATTACTGATAACAGTAATAATACATGTGATGAGGTAATTAGTGTATTAAGAAAACAATTACATTTGTATTCAATGGTTCCCCATTGGTATCATGCGGTGAATGACATGCTGATATAACAAATAAATATTCTGTATAATGATGTAATCCATCAACAGATACACCTATGATATTACTGTTAATTGATTCAGTATTCTCAACAGTATTTGAATTGGCACTGATTCGTAAATGACCATCCCATTTAAGTGGATAATGATCGTAATCACGCTGTTCCATTTTACTGAAGTGCAAAGCTGAAATTCAAACGGTATATATATACATATATATATATTAAAATATATTAGAAATACGGAAAGACCGGAACAAACGATTATACTAGATAAAAAGATTAAATGAATGGTCAGAAACCCATACAATGTAGTGGAGTAATGAAATTTAGTTATATAGAGAATTTAGAACCGAGCATAATTTTGCATTTAGATCAAGTTGCTAGTGTGGTAAGAGTATAAGTATAAAAGACGATTGAAGAAATGAATGGATGAATGAAAACTGGGAATGAGAAGCATGAAATCAAAGAAAAACGCAAAATCTAGAGAATGAATAAGATTATGGAGAAGATTTGTGGTTCAGGTAGATGATTTTGATGGAGTTTTGTTCTCTGAGCTGGATAGTCTGGTCGTGGAGCCTTAACCGTTCTTTTAAACAACTTCTACCTGACGTTTGTACTGATGATGTCGTTCAAAAGAACAGTGAAAGTTCCGCGTTCAGACTATCCAGCTCAGAGAGCAAAAATTCACCGAGAGAATGAATAAGTATAAGCTAGCGCGATTTATCACCAAAGCCATACTAACTATGTTCTCCAACCAAAATACAGTTTAAAACTGGAGCTTCAAATATTTTCCAATAATCAGTTTAGTAACAAAGAGAAAATGTATATTGTAAATAATAATTCGGAAACTGAAACACGAAATGAGTTTAAAATTTTAATATTTGATGCTCGGTATTACGATCCAAACATGTATCATTAGTACACATATAATTAATGACACACATCAACTAATTGTTTAGTTGAATATTCAAGAAATGTGGCTAGCGTTAGCAGTTGTTTGAGTGTTTTATCGATATGATTATTAAAAGAAATTATTGTCAGTGTTTATTGAATAAATAATACTGTTGGATGCCACCTCAATGATTTAAAAGATAACTATTCACTCGCGATATCGAAGGTCCTGAGTTCGATTCCCGAATAGAGGGTCATGGATGTGCACTAGTGAGGAGTTTCTTAATAGAACAAAACAACCATCCAGTTCTTTAAAGTTTACGAAGCCAGTCAAAGCTAAGACTAGTTCATGATTTAAACTATGAAACCTCTAGAACATACACAAAGTCTTCTATATTAAAAATGATCACTAAGACTGATAATCTTTCGGAAAAATTGAATATTCACAAAAGAAATACACTGTCAAAATTTATTGAAGATGCTAAAAAATTCAACTGAAAACTTACAATTAAAATCATCAATTCTTATTCTTCTTTTTCCACGAATCTTTACAGGTGATTTTCTAAGAAGGAAATAAATGTAAAATATGAATTTTCAGAAATAAATACATCAGATCACAATCACACTAAGAAAGTGTGTGAATATTAGGCAAAAATAAAAAGTGAAAACAAACATAATAGATAACACAAACACTCCTTAAAGAGAGAACAACAAAAAGAATAAAGAGCAGAGAGTGAGCGAAATAAACAATGAACATGTATTATAATATTTAATGACGACTCATGGAAGTAACTACAGTTCTAAAACTAAAAGGACCAGGTGAAGAATGTTAAATTCTTCTGTATAGAACTGATGGAAAGTAAGCTGATAAACTGGTATAAAGTCTCTTATAATTATTCTTAGATTGAATCCAACGTAGAATGATTTTAGGATTAGATTGATATGTAAAACACATGACTTAGAGACAACAGCAGATACAAAGGTTTCAATTACCAAAAACCTGCGACTTGCATGTGTATTACAGTCTTAATAGCATTACTGAACAGCCGTAGGATGGTACATAAAGGAGTGCTACTCAGTATACTCTCCTCTTAATGGTTTACTAGATTGACTATAGTGTTTACAGCTGGTTTAAATCAATAAGTATGATATGAGTCATGTGTATATTCTAAATTTTATTCGCAGATCAATTGATCGTTGTAGATAATACTCCTAACAGCAGTAGAAAAACTACCATATTTAGCTGATATACTTCTTATTTTCGAAGCAAGTGTCAATAAAAACTAGTCGTACATTGCTATCTTACATTTGGCAATTCCTCACGATGTTCACATCCTGTATGTCATTTGTGAACACTGTCTACGTTAAATGGTCTACGAAACAGGGAATTAACCATAGAAATATAGGAGAAAGTGTTACCATTTAAAAATAAATCTTTGGTTAAGCTGAAGAAGTAAGGCAACATAGCACGTCCTCGAAAGGTACCACCATAATTAAGATAAAAAAATTTCACAATTTCTTATTAGAATGATAGAATTTAAATAAAAGGTTATAAAGTAAACTTTGCTGTTCGGTAGCTTCAGATAGGTAGTTTGTAAAACAGATTAGTAACATAATGAATAAAAGTCAACACAACTTACATTCTCGGAAATAATAGTAAATTTTGTAAAGAATCTTCAAAACGAATCATATCAAGGCGTTCAACTCTCGTTGTTTTCTCATAGTCCCCATTGTATTGATCAGTTATAGCAGTTTTTCTATTAAATATACTACTTTGACGTGGATTTCTATCTTTATCCGTGTTCGACAGATGCATTGATGGATTAAAACAAAATGCAGCACAACTAGTGCATGAACATATTCCTCTGACAGTTTTAGAAACATTTGCATGTGAATTTGAATTTTGATTATTTTTTACGTTTCCATGTGTAGTAGTTGATGAACCGATTAAGTGAGATGAACGACCTATAAAAAAACAATTAACATGCGATAACAATTAAAAATGACTCCACCTGTAGCTCTTTTAGAGTTACTGCCGGTCCCAAGCCCGGGTAAAGGAGGAGGGTTGGGCATGGAGTCAGCAAACTCATCCCGTACAAAACAACCTTACTAAATAAGCATCAACCAGATTAAACAAATTAAACCATTTAAACTCTACCCTAGGAGTTGAAGGTAGAATTATACCGTCTCACGATGAAAGCCGAGATTCTTTAGAAGTCACGAGACCGATGCTTCTTCTAACAACCAGAGCAACAATTTTTATAGGTACATGGAACATCCGGACAATGTGGTAGACCGGGAAGACCAGTCAAATAGCAACGGAAATGAGGAGATACAACTTGGCAGTACTAAGAATCAGCGAAACCCATTGGACCCAAGCTGGACAACAAAGGCTAGATACGGGAGAGATGCTGCTATACTCCGGTCACGAGGAGGAAAATGCTCCACACACTCAGGGAGTTGCTCTAATGCTGTCCAAAGTAGCACGAAATGCACTTGTGGGATGGGAATCTCATGGATCCAGAATCATCAAAGCATCATTCAAAACAAAGGAGGGGATCACAATGAATATCATCCAGTGTTATGCATCCACAAATGATAGCAACGACGACAGTAAGAATCAGTTTTATGAGAGGCTGCAACCGATCATAGAGAAGTGTCCAAGAAAGGATCTCACCATCCTCATGGGAGACCTAAACGCCAAAACTGGAATGGACAATACTAGATATGATGATATGGCACGGCATAGACAGAATGGGAAAGTTGAACGAGAATGGTGACAGATTGATACATTTGTGTGCATTGAACAAATTGATTATAGGTGACACAATATTCCCACACAAAAGTATACGCAAAGCTACACGGGTCTCACCAGGGTACAACCACAGAGAAACAGATAAATCATATTTGCATCAGTGAGAAATTCAAAAGGTTAATGGAAGAGGTGAGAACTAAGAGAGGAGCTGAACTAGCTTCAGATTACCACATGGATGTGGCCAAGATGAAACTGAAGCTAAAGAAACACTGGACAACAGGAGAAACAGCATTATAAAGGTTCAATACAGTCGACCTTCGACATACTGACAAAACTGATTCAAGATAACTCTCAACAACAGGTTCCAAGCCTTAAAGGATCTACTCAAAGAAGAAGAAACTACTATGGAGAACAACTGGAAAGGGACCAAAGAAGCATTAACTTCAACGAGTCAGGAGGATCTGGGTCGCAAGAAGCATCATCATAAGGACTGGATCTCTACCGAAACCCTGGACAAGATTCAAGAAAGAAAGAACAGGAAGACAGTAATTAACAACAGTCAAACAAGAGCAAAGAATGTCAAGTCATAAGCTGAATACATTGAAGCAAACAAGCAAGTGAAGAAGAGCATTAGAGCCGACAATAAAAAGTACGTGGAAGAACTATCCAAGACATTAGAAAAGGTTGAAAGAGAAAGAAATATGAGACAGTTATATGACACAACGAAGAAACTAGCAGGGAAATATTGTAAACCAGAGAGACCGGTCAAGGACAAAGAAGGCAACCCAATCACTGAAATTAAAGAACACAGGAACAGATGGGTAGAATACTTCGAGGAACTCTTGAATAGACCAGCACCACTGAATTCACTGAACATCGAAGCGGCACGAACGGACCTTCCCATAGATGTCGCTCCATCAACGACCAGAAAAATCAGGATGGCCACCAGACAAATCAAGAGAGGGAAAGCAGCAGGACCTGATAATATACCGAGTGAAGCTCTGAAGTTACACACAGAAGTAAATGTAAAAATGCTTCACATTGTATTCAGGAAGAATTGGGAGGAAGAACAAGTGCCGATGGACTGGGAACGAGGACACCTCATCAAGACACCAAAGAAAGATCTGAACAAATGTGAGAACTACAGAGGCATCACACTACTGTCAGTACCATGAAAGGTTTTCGACAGTGTTGTTGAACCGGATGAAAGATTCAGTAGACGCCTAACTTCGAGATCAACAAGCTGGATCCCGCAAGCATAGGTCGTGCGCAGACTAAATCACCATTAGTGTGGCGCATATATATTGGCGCTCTCTTGTACCAATATTTATGTGTTCAAATAAATAATAAAATAAATCACCATGCTACGGATCATTGTTGAACTGTAGAGGCTAATTTCCTCGATAACTGACTCCAATAAATAGTATCCTGTTAAGTGGGTATTTACGTAGGTTAAATCTTCTACTAGCATTATAAATTTGTTCGGCATCAACCAAAAGCTTGAATACCAGTCGTAGAGATAGTTTATTTTCAAAGGTTAATAAAATCCGCAAGCGTACAGAAACCAAGCACACACGGAAACAAGATATATTTACGCGCTTACTACCAATGAGAGAATACATAAAGATCGATATACAGACACGCGCTCCGTTAGACTCATACATAATTATACATAGTGGATTAAATGTCTAAATCACAGTAAGTATACAAATAATAAAATAGATCAACGTGCTTACTACGAAACAATCATTTGAGTGGAACTCGTCATCATACATCAACTTCCTTAATTTTGAAAAAGCATTTGACAGTGTGAATAGATCATTATGGAAACGTCTTCTGTATTATGGTGTGCCTTAGAAGATCGTCAACATCATACGAAATCCATACGATGGACTACACTGCAACGTTGTGCATGGAGGACAATTGACAGACGCATTCGAAGTAAGGACCAGAGTCAGACAAGGCTACCTATTCTCCCTCTTTCTCTTTCTTCTGGTGGTCGACTGGATTATGAAAATCTCTACATCTGAGAGGTAACACGGAATACAATGGATAGCTCGGAATCAATTAGAAGATTTGAACTTCTCAGACGACCTGGCTCCTCTATTCCATACACACAAACAAATACAGATGAAGACAACTAGTGTAGAAACAGCTTCTACATCAGTAGGCTTCAACATACACAAAGGAAGAAGCAAGATCCTCATATACAACACGGAGAGCACCAACACAATCACACATGACGGAGAAGCTCAGGAATATGTGGAATCCTTCACGCATCATCGATGAATAAGGAAGATCTGATGCAGACATAAAGGTGAGGATTGACAAGACAAGGACCGCATTCGTACAGTTCAATAACAAATGGAACTCAAAACAACTGTCGACCAACATCAAAGTGAGAATATTCAATACGAACGTCAAAACAGTTCTACTGTATAGAGCTGAAACTTGAAGAACTACAACCATCATCAAAAAGATGGAATTATTTATAAACAGTTGTCTACGCATGATACTAAATATCCGTTGACCAGTTACCATGAGCAACAGCTTACTGTGAGAGAGGACAAAGCAGCTTCCATCTGGAGAGGAAATTAGGAAAATATGTTGGAAGTGGATAGAACATACTATGAGGAAGTCACCAAACTGCATTACGAAGCAATGGTTAACTTGGAATGGTGAGGGTAGACGGAAAAGGGGTAGACTAAAGAACACATTGCACGGATAATTGGAAGCAGACATGAAAAGAATGAATAGTATCTGTAAAGAATTGCCCAGGACAGAATTGAATGGAGATTACTGTTGGGCTGTCTATGCTCCTCCACGAGGAGTAGCAGGCGTAAGTAAGTAACATTTAAACATATCTGATATTTTGACTATAACTTTGTTTACCAAATAAACATACGATTCGTATATAAGGACTTATCGAGATTGTAGAATTTTAATAGGTTAAGCCACGAATTGGTCATAGCTAGACTACCAATACAAATCTGGAAGTACTGGTAGGCCGCTACATCCTAGTGTGTAACTCCTCAGCAACGCGGATCCATAACCAAAAAGCTGGAAAAAGAACCTATGAACGTCGGTCTCGCAATCGGATGCAAACATGTAAACCAGACCATTGAGACAGTATCCAATGGTGAACAACTCTAAATTAAATTAATCCACGATATTGCGCAACCATCCTACATTGTTTTCGGTGGGTATCTTTCGCATTCCCGACACGGATAAGCTTGACTGGCCACGGTTCCTTCATGGGACTGGAGATTTCTTCTTAACGTTGGTCACTAGTGAGCGCATAGGATAATAAAAAATTCACGGAGTTTAGTGTGGAGCCGTAACCAACGGGTAGTGCAAACGTTTTTAAAAAAATATACTTTCACTCTCAATCTATTGAACTCCTCTTCTGACAGATATCTTATAGTTGATTCGGAATGTACAAACGACGCTAAGAACAAAGCGAAAGCAAGATGGCCTTCAAACATAAGCTGATGATATAAAAATACTTTGACTACATCCAATTTAGGTGAATGGATTCTGTTGGCTAATGTGAGCCAAAGACATTTTGACATAAGACCATTGAAATCCACTGGGGACTTAAGATAGAAGTAAGCTGTGTTATATTTTTCATGACTGTTTGACACGCCTACTAATGATATGCGAAGAATTCAAGTTCTGAATCATAATCGTCTCAAAAAACTTCCAATGATCGTGATTACACAAATTTTGAACGATAAGTTTGTGGATCCATGTGTACGAAAAAGACTATTATATTTGTCACATATGTGCAAAACATCCTAGCTATGTAAATGTCGAAAAAATAATCAAGGACAAAAAACTCAAGAGTGGTTATACATCAAGACATATCATTTAATTCATAAAAATTTTTTATGCTAATATGTGAAAAATGAAAGACTTTTGGCTTTGATACAAAATGTGATGGATATTGGTAGTTGCAAATGTTGAATAATATTACCGAAAATAGGCTACAACTGTGAGAGAGAGAGGTTTCCTCATCCCCTTGTACTACCAAATCCTTTAAGCTCACTGTTCAATAATTCATTCCTTTTGATTACTTTTATGTAGTAGTATTTGTAAATACAGTAATTAGAATCAATAGTTAGTCGCTTTAAATTCAAAGATTTCTCTTTTCCTTGAAAATAAAATAACCGGAAGATACAGGATTTAAGGATATATTGTTCAAAGATAAAGATAACCATTATTCATGGTTGTCTGGAATTTAGAAATTTGAAAGTAAATGTTTTGAAAAGTCAATTACTGCTATCCTCTTTACCAGTAAGCCTACAAACACTATACACTAGTGAGCATGAAGATGTATTACACACCGTTTACTTAGGAAGTTAGTAACATACTTCTTACACAGTAATATTGATTAAGATAAAGCCGATTTTAAGTAGTGCAAAGTATAAAAAACTAAAGTAGGTATTAATATAAACAAATTACTTTAAAGAAATATTGATTCAATTTACCATCTGTACAAGAAATATCATTATCAAAGGATGAAATATTTACAAATAAACGTCTATACCAAAGATGATATTCTACAATTTGACCGTTTGGATTATCTGGAGCATTCCAATACAATTGTATTTTATTTGAATTTAATGAAAAAGCATGAAAATCAATTGGACTGCTAGGTTCTATGAAATGAATAAAAATAAGAACAATTAGGTGAAACATTTATTAAGTTTCTTACTACTGAAATCATCAAGTTATTTTATGTAGAAGAAAGAAAAAAACTAACGAATGTAGTACAACTTGAAGACTATGAAGATAATTTAACAAAGCTTTACCACCATGATGATAAAGCGCGTTATGAGGAGGAGTTAACTTAGTATTGATTTATTCATATGCTCAAAATATAAAAAAACGGATCATAGTATAAACGATCGTAGAAAGTGGATTGAATAAAAAAATTGTCAATTTTTAAAAAAAATCAAGTCTACCAATGAAGAAACGACTCTACAACGCAGCAGTACACTGTGTTTCATTTACAGCTGTCAAATGTAGTTTTTTCAAAGTAGAGTGTAGTCCTAGGTCACTAGTATTCCATCATAGCTGTTTTTAAAGCATTGTACGCGTATGTTGGGATCACAGAGTGAAAAACGTTGAAGTTAGATGCAGA